GCCACGCTCACTGTAACGCCCACAAGCCGCGCAAAACTGTGGCGCCCACAGAAAACCAGAAAACAAATTTAACAGAAATGTATTGATCTCGTCTATACCTGTCGATTGACCTAAAAAACTTTTCCACGCCCACTCTAACTAACTCACAAAAACGAAAAAGAAGAAGACGGAAAATCGTTCGCCCAGTGTTGAAAAGCACTTAAAGGCAGTAAAAAATTTGTGCGCGTAACACTGTAACCATACTCTCGTATGGTAAAACCCGTGTGCCAAATGCGATTTTTTGCGAATCTTCGATGCGTATTCAAATTTTCAAAGCGGTCATTTAAACATTTAATTAACTTTTATCAATTTTCAATTTAAAAGCTGAGTAACAGGTATCTGACACTATGGAGACACTCGACTATACCGCTATTTCTTGTTGTTAAATTGCACTTTTTAAAGGAGACTTCCAGCTAGTGTGAAAGTATGTTAAAGACTTTAGACAATATATTATGTTTTGTGTAAAGTCTTAACTTTTGAGGCCTTTTTCTTTGGAGTCTAGGTGTACGAGACGCAAGACCCAGTTGGGCTTTATAAACAACACATTGCAAAATACACACGTAACTATGTTAATTGTGGGTTAACCATTAAATAGTAAACAAAGTGACAAGAAACACAATTTGAATAGCTGAATTTTGTTGTGTGTATGTTCAAAGATATTAAAAGTATGTTTTTAAGAAGATCAGGCTTTCTGATGTGACATTAAAGTGGATTTGTAATTTATACGACACGGCTGCTTGAATATCACCGTCTAGGAACGAGTCATGTAATAAGTAAACACAGCCATCAAGTGTTGTCTATAAATAAAGCGAAATTTGAACAAAAAAATGATGAAGATACGGAAAAACGCAAAATGCAACGCCCCGTTAATAATTAGTTGCATAATGAACCGCAAATTAAGCCACACACGAGTGATGACAGCAGCAACCACAGCAACCATGGATAATGGCACTGGCAAAACAAAAAAAAGCAATATTAACACAGTTGGTTACTCACTCGGAGAAATAAATAAGAAAGACCCAAGTCGCTTGTCACAGATCAATTGGAAAGGTTTTATTTTTCTTCTAATCGATACTTTGCACATCACTCAAACGAGGAGACCCATAAAACAAATATTGAATTTCAAGCAAATATTATTTTTCCTGGCTTGCCATGCCGTTTTCTCACTTGCTTTGCATTGTTTGTGGCAGTCATAATCCAGCAAACTTGGCGTGCCAAATAATCTCTTCCCTTTTTAGCCCTTGATAAGCCTCTAACAAAAATGGGAAATAAAGTTTTGACGATCGCATTTTTTATACAACATTTTAAGTACTAGCTTTCCCGGCCGTAGCTTAGTCCGGGTTGAAGAAATGTTATCTACACACAAAAAAAATTTGGTTGGCAAAATTTACCAATGCAGATAGTTCCGTAACCATAAACAAGAGAAAACGCTATAGTCGACGGCCCCGACTTTCAGATACCCGTTACTCAGCTAACAAAAAAGCACCTCCTATCGTTCATCCCTATCAGCTGTTAATTAATTATTTTTTGACTACAACTTTTTAGTGAATGGTCCGATTTAAATAATTTATGACAACAAAATAAATACACTATTAATTAAGTCTTAAAAAGTTTAAGACCCAATTTCATATGCAAATGCAATATGCATATGCAAAATTAAAATAATTACAAAATTAATACAAAACCCGATTGGATTTGTATGTTTTAACGTACAAGCAAATCATTTTTTATTTGAAATTAAATTAATTTTTAAAAATCGGACTCCTATATCGTTTAGCTCGCCGAAGTTAGCTTTCTTTTCGCGAGTTTTGTAAAATTTTCCGTTTTTATGTAGGATTGGTTATTTTTTAACCCGTAAACTTGGAGCTCCGAATTGGAAAATTCGACATTGTTCTAAGCACTTGCTTTCCAAGAGCAAGAAAACAACATCATTATTTTTACCATCAACTAACAGAGACTTTAACTGCTACACTCAAATCATTGTCTGCTACATAAATGTATCTTCTTCAGGGACCCACCAACACTCACATTGAAACAAAGGCGTTGTGTGTGATTAAAGTGATTCCTTGCTCAAGTGCCAACCCTCGACTTCAAAATGCAGCGACATCATTAAAGCTTTTCGCTACGGGGATATATGTGCAAAAGGGTGGTTCGATTTGGGTGCCAAAATCGTAATCTTTGAAAGATTCCAAGCAATGTTGGCAAACAAACGTATGGCCTAAAATGGCGTTAAAACTCCCCAAACGCGACTGAAAGTACTGTTTCGTATCGTAGTCAGCACATTTTTGTTACAACATTTTAAGTCCCTACTTTCCTAGTTACAATTTTTAAATATCTTTGGCGCGTTATATTTAAAAATAAAAATTTGTTTGAAACATATTAAAGATGATTTTCCACTCATACGATTTGTCACTTTTTTCGGCCCCATAGAAATCGACCCGCCCTAATGTTGCTGCTGCAGCCACGTCGCCACTCAAATTAAGTCGGCAAAGTGCACTGTCAAAGCGCATTTCATATGCATAAGGGACCATCTTGTGTCTCTACCCATCACCATGTATGTGGTTGGCCCAGTTTTGGGGCGATCTCGGGGCAAGCTTAACCCAGGCTGCAAATCTTGTCGAATAATTTGGTTTTACTGGAACATAAGGTTGCATTCTACTCGACGTCTCTCTGAAAGAGATTCATAAACTCATAAAGTAAAGTACCCATACCAGTATTTTCGTTTACTTCTTCAGCTCTTTAAGTATCATAATCTTCTGTTATTACTTATTTCTCAGTGTACTGCTCTGTTTCCCTCAATTAATAATGACTCGACTATCAGATACCTGTTGCTAAACTCAAAGCGCATGAGAGATATGCGATCAATGAAGCATTTTTTTTCAAATTGCACAGCGCCACCTAGTGGCGTTTACATTATTGGCTCTTAACCTGCATACGAGTCCCTTATGTCAATTGTATATATGTTTTGAAGTATCTAGGTAGTACTTTTACAGTATGGACAGAGAAAGACATTAGCTGGGCAAGAAAAGAAGCAGTACGGGGAACAATTAGAGCATGTTAGCGAAATTTCGTTTTTGAACCGCGATCTAAATTTTAGTAAAACATCTTAGCTTCGCAAGCCAAAATTTCTATACCCTTGCAGGTCGTTCCTATGGGAGCAATGTATGTACAGACCTTTTCGATTTTTAGAAAACTAAAAAATAATTACAGAAATATTACAATAATATTTGATTTCCATTAACAAGCGAGTATGTTTTATCGAAATAGAGATATATCGGTTTATATAATACCATAACATTAATTTTCCGATCCTTCCTAAGGCAGCTATATGACAAAATAATCAGACTTTTATTTAATTAAATTCATATTTCTTAAATATTAAAAAATGCTATATATCGGAGTAAATAAGAATATGATCCAAAATAACAAAGCAACAAGTATTTTCCTATTATTTTCCCATCAATTATTCGATCGTTCCTATAACAGCTGTATGATATAGTCGACCGATTTATTCGACTCGCCTAGTGATCCTGATCAATATATTCTGTATAGGGTCGAAGCGCTTCCTTCCACCTGTTACAAACTTTTCGACGAACCTTATATATCCTTTACTCTACGAGTAACAGGTATAAAAAGTAGCTGGCCAAATGATTTGTCATAAACTGCACGAAACGCAAATGCAGTGTTTGCATAAATCTGTTGGTTCTGCAGCATTTTTAATCAATTTGTGTGTGTGGGCGCAACCCATTATCAGTGGTGACAACAAAAAGGAAAATATTCAAGCCCTAAAAGAAAATTAAAACCACATTTTAGAAGCACGCGGTTGGCGGTTGAATTTGGCACTGACACAAGCACAAAAGCTGTATTCAAGGCCGTTGGAGCGGGAAGTGGGCGGATGTTTGGCAGAAGGTCAAAGGGTCATTGGTACCAAAGAAAAAATTTTAAGTGCCCTTTTCTTAATCAGGAAGATGTACCTTACCGGAAAACAAAGGTTTCCTTGAAGGCGTATTTCATTAATTATACCCGTTACTCGTAGAGTAAAAGGGTATACTAGATTCGTCGGAAAGTATGTAACAGGCAGAAGGAAGCGTTTCCGACCCCATAAAGTATATATATTCTTGATCAGGATCACTAGCCGAGTCGATCTAGCCATGTCCGTCTGTCCGTCTGTCCGGATGAACGCTGAGATCTCGGAAACTATGAGAGCTAGGCTATTGAGATTTGGCGTATAGATTCCTGAGCTTCTTACGCAGCGCAAGTTTGTTTCAGTAGACTGCCACGCCCACTCTAACGCCCACAAACCGCCCAAAACTGTGGCTCCTACAGTTTTGATGCTAGAATAAAAATTTTAACTGAAATGTAATGTTCTCATCAATACCTATCGATTGACCTAAAAAAAAGTTTGCCACGCCCACTTTAACGCCCACAAACCGCGAAAACCTGTGACGCCCACAATTTTTGTGCTAGATAAAAAATTTTAACTGAAATGTATTCGTCTCGTCATTACCTATCGTTTGATCCAAAAAAAAATTTGACACGCCCACTCTAACGCCCATAACGCTTAAATCTGTATACCGCCGGTAGGTGGCGCATTTTAATCTCGCTTTGCTACTTGCATATCTCTATTTAGCTGAGTAACGGGTATCTGATAGTCGAGGTACTCGACTATAGCGTTCTTCCTTGTTTTTTTTTGTAAACTGGTGTTATCAATACTCATCCATATGCCTTGAGTTGTTTAAGTCGGACGATCGTGGTTATATGGAAATTGGGAAATCTACGCTTGTTCTACGCTATAGCGTTCTCTCTTGTTCATGAATAGAGAATTTTTGTTACTACTATGTTTTAACGACCTAAAGAAACTGATGGCGCATATTCCACGTGCTATACAAAAAGTCAAATCCGAAAACCTGAAATAAATAAGTTGCAACTAACCAACCAACCTTTCCTATTTTTTGTTGCAGCCAATTACTTTGCACTCAACAACAGCTACTCTTTTGAGTTGTTGTTGTCGTCGAGGGGGCCAAACAGCTTTAGAATGAAATGGAGATGCAAAGCTACTCTGGTCATGGACCAACGACAACAACTTCAGCCACAGCGGAAAGTGCAACAGCAACTGCAGCAGTCCCAGCAGCAACATTCACACAGCGACACTTCAGTTGTCGACTGGAAGAGGCGGCCCGGCCGGAGGTCTGGCAGCCTTTTATTGGCTGCGACAGCAACACCAGCAGCAGCAGCAAGAGCAACCTCATCCTGCCCACCAGCAACATCCTCGTCAACGGCAGCAGCAGCTCATTCCAGTGTGCCCGGCAAGCCTTCGATAAAGCGGAGCAGACGGCCCTCTACAGATGCGTTGGGGAGGGTCCATTGTCTGAAAGCTGCGCGTTGAGGCTGAGGGCGCGACTGTTGCAAGTGCCGTACGAGGCGTATGAGCAATTTCGACTGGCAATCAACGGGGAACTCAGTGATACATCCAGTGATATACTTAGTGATAGTTCGAGCTGCGAGGAGGGAGAGGATGTTTTGCAATGTGAGCTGGGGCTGACCCAGGATCTATTTCTTTGTCATTTGCAGCCGCAGCAGGAGCCATTTGGGGAGCTGGAAGGCCTGGGGGAGGCGGAGCCCCTCTCGAACGGCAGCCTACTGGAGGCCTATCCAATCGAGCTGGGCAACGAACACGACGGACTCTGGTCCTTCCTCAACCTGAGCGAGCTAATGGAAGCCGGCAACGACACCTCTGGCATCGTGAATGCCACCAGCAGCAGTTTGGACATGATTCTGGCCAACTACACGGCCCTTACCACAACAACAGTCGCCTCCACCGCAGCCACGTCGAGCGATATCGGAGTTACGAAGAGCTTTCTGGACTACAGTCCCCACGGCTACGATTGGCTTTTCCTGTTCGTGGTCTTCTTCATCTTTGCGGGGGGCTTGGGCAACATCCTCGTCTGCCTGGCTGTGGCCTTGTACCGGAAGCTTCAGAACGTCACCAACTACTTCCTGTTTTCCCTGGCCATAGCCGATCTCTTGGTCAGTCTGTTCGTGATGCCCATGGGTGCCATACCAGCTTTCTTGGGTAAGTCAACGTCATGGCTCAAGCGATCTTAAATGATAAGTGACTATAAGTAGATAAAATTTCTCCAATTATACTATTAAATAACTATAGTCAACAGTCCCCATAGTCTGTATTCCCTTGAAACACATTAAATGGCCATTATGCCGACTTCGTTTAAGCAAACTTTTTATCTTTCGCTTGGCTTCTTTGAGTGTACTCCAGCAATCAAGTGCCCATGCAAGTCAGCGACTAATGCATTTGCACATGAATTATTTCGACGCCATTTCCTCCAGCCCCTGCTCATCTGCAGCCCGCTCCCAAGCCCACCCATCCTTTGCACCCGCCTTTCCCATTGTCACGAGTTGTCAGCCTCGCTGGCTGTTTCCGCTTTGGCTCAGCTGCACTCATGGCAAAATGAAGCAGTACTGCACTGGCAAAAGAAAACCAATTGGGCTACAAGAAGTAAATTAACTATACTGAATTTATTACTTTCTTTTCGGGCAAGCATTCCTTAGCTTTGAATTGATTTTATCAATCTGCATGCAAAAATTTCAACTCTGTAGATCTAATAGTTTCTGAGATCTCAACGTATCCCTCTTACGATCACGATACTTTACTTCTACCCTTAATTACTTTTTTTTAATATTAAATTAGACTTAAATAAAGAAAAATTGGTTTTTACTACTTAAATACAATGGCTTGTAATAAAGGGATACCATTTTTGAGATACTCTTGTTAATCTATTTTTCACACTGCAATCTTCTCAGTGTAGCAGAAGCCAAAGTGGCACAGCTTTAAACTAGAATGACAAACGTGTGACTCAGTTTGTTGGTGTTTAAATGCCCAAGTATTTTATGTTCCTTCTCCTTTTACAATCCTCACTGCCACAAAAAACGGATGCTGTAATTAAATTTCTCCAAAAGTGGTAAAACTTAAGTTTCTTGTAAGCAGCTGTTTAACACCATATAAAATATACAGAGCGTTAAAACACAAAACGAAGGAAGTCGGGATACATTTTCCGACTCCTTTAAATGTCTAACTTGGATCAGTACTAACGACCAAATAAAAGTCGTATTTGTGGCAACTAAAAATGCTAGAGGTGGCAAAAGCTTCACCACGCAGAAACCAGCAGAATGCACGGACATCAGATACCCCTTACTCTGTTAGCCTCTAGATGCCACCAGGTGCTAGCGCTTCTACTCTTAGTGACGTCACTGACCATATAAAGCCTCCAAACTTTAATTTGTAAATAAAAAAAAGGGAAAGGCGACAGACGATGTCCATAAAGCTAGAACCTGTCGGCGCACAAATTTTAAAAATACGTAAAATCTTAGGTGGCTTGACTAATTTGCGTACGACCCTGAAAAAACAAGAAACAAAGTCAGACCCACCCCTTACCTTTTTCATTGGCCAGAAGTGAACTCAACGTAGCGAAAACAGATGAAACGTTCGCAAAAAATTAGTGTGCATCTATCATCATACATGAATCCTATACAAGAAGCCGAAAACAAACCCTTAGTCAAGCCCCGTACCCATTGTATATAAATTGAAACAAACAGTTTAACAGCATCGGGGAAAGTTATGCTATCAGTTCTTTAACAATGCGGAATAGGGAGGCGAGGTATAGTTTCGTTGCCAGACCTAATATTGTTTACGAAAAAGTATGTATAAAAAGTACTTTGCTGGGCATAATTCAAGGATTTCAAGGAAAATTATCTAAAGGTGTATAAGAATATACAAGCTAAGCAATTTACTCGCTTCAAAGGATGCCCCACAAAATAGTTGTTGCAGGCGTGTGCAGAATCTATGGCTTACATATGTTTTAACAACTATTTTGTAAAGCATACTTAAACGTGCCCATAGGTCAAATGAATTCACTTGCTTAAAACTTTACAAAGACATTTTTTTTAAGAAGAAGAAAGGTAAATAATTTTAAATGCCAAAATTAAAGGATTTATGTTCTTACTTTCTGCTTATTGGTTGTCCTTTCGAAAAGAAACAAGGTAAACATTCAAGAAGGTTTTTTAATCACTCTATTTATACCCGTTATTCGTAGAGTAAACATGTATACTAGATTCCTCGGAAAGTATGTAACATGTAGAAGGAAGATTTCCGAACGCATAAAGTATATATATATTCTGGATCAGCATCACTAGCCTACTCGATCTAGCCATGTCTGTCTGTCTGCTCCTATAAACGCTTTGATCTCGGAAATTTTAAGAGCTAGAAAATTGAGAATTTAGACTTAGATTATATGCATATGACAGTGGAGACACTCGACTATTCTAGAGTTCAAAAAAAAATAGTTAAAACGAACTTATGGGCTTTTAATATAGTAACAAAACAAATATAATATAATAACAAAACTGATTAATATTGATATTACAAACATATCAAATTGATATGAAAGAATATCAGTATGGTATGAAAGAATATTAGTCATATCGAACGCCGTTGTACCCTCTGCACACAGCATAAGTATGCCGTATCCGAAAGCAAATACAGTTTTTTCAAAAATACAATTTTTTAAAAATCATTTTGCTTATATTTTTTATGATTCTTTAAAAATGTTTAGCCATATTTTTCTCTTTTACATACAATTTCCGACATTGTCACCTTAAAAAAAAATGATTTTTGAAAAATTATTTTTGCAGTTACTATTATTTTTGTTTGAAGAAACTTTTTGCATCAAAAAATTTAAGTTTTCAAGACGAGGAAAAAATTTAAAAAAGTAGATTTTCACACAAATTTGAAATTTTTAATAAGTACTGAATGGGTTAAGAAAAGTATTGCATCATTCTAACGGCATCTAAATTACCTTTCCATTGATGCCAAAGTGTACAAGAAGTAAGTTTAAATTATGACTATATTTAACTTTTGTTTCGTCAAAATACTTATGCCAACCAGTGTATATTTATAATTTATATTATCAATACCCATCTACATGGCAAAAATTATTTAAATCGGAACATCCATTATAATGTCATTACCAACAAATAATAATCAGCAAATTTAATAGTAGTAGTAACATAGAACAAATCGTTTGCTTACGAAATTTTATTAGCGCCACCTAGGTTTCATGTTATTTGGCATGTTAGTGTAATCTCGTGAACATCCGATAGGAATGAAAGATATGTGGCGCTTTTTTGTTAGCTGAGTAACATGTATCTGATGGTCGAGGCCGTACTATAGCGTTTTCTCTTTTTTTTAACTGGTAGCCACGATATCACAAAAACGACTTGTCCGATCGATTTCATATTAATCGGATAAATGTATAACTCTCCACAATCCTCGCAAAACTGCGGTGCCCACATTTTCAAAAATTTAGTTGAATTGAAATAAATTGTATTTTATAAATGTCAAAACCTACCGGCACTTCGAAAATTCTTCAATTAGGACCATAAGTTAATAAGTAATGACCTAACCTGACCGTACCTAGCAAGAACACAGTCACAGTCACGTCACAATGTTTGCATATCAATTTTGGTCCTTATATGGCCATATCAAAATTATATTTTTGCACATATCAATGGGGTTTTTTCATGTTAAATTGTTGTGCAGCATATCAATTTATATCATATAGCAATATTAAATTATTGACAAAGCATGTGTTTCAATAACATTCAACACCGTGCAGTGTTTTATTTTCTATCAATCAATTTCAATGTTTGTAATATCAAAATTAAATAGCTATGCTTTTAATTTGTTGCTTCTTGTACAAAAAGCGTTCTCATAAATTATTTAATTTAAATATTTTTGGGTCCATCATAAACATGTTTTAAGGAACTAGCAATAAATGGAAGGAGAGCAGTCTGTACTCGGCCCCTCTTGTAGCTTTGCACCAGCGCCAGGGAGTCCTTTTTGCCAAGCTATTTTAATATGAAACACATGAATTGTGAAAACTGAGGAGATTATATCAATGGACCGTTGAATAGTAGCATCACAATAATCACAGCCAAACTATTTTTTATCCCTCGCAAATTTTTGGTTCTAAAACGTACAAATCTTATAGTTACAATTTCTGTTTTACAAATCTCTTCTTCATCGAATGATTATATTTCTATTTAGGGAATAGTTGTCATGGCACTCACGAACCACAACGTGGTATTTGTCATTTCGCCACAGTAAAGACCCATTTAAAGTTGTAGGACTGGGGGAAAGGTCTGTTATTTCACATTTGTGTTTTTTCGCGTGAGTGCTGTGTTGAAAAGTCGACGAAAACTGTAAACTAAATGTTACTAAAAGCCTTAAGTGTGGTTTCAGCTGCAGCGGATATAATAACAAAAACAGCGACCCTTGCCTTTCCAAAAGTTAATCCGAAAATGGGTCGCAGTTCTTTGGCTTATTTTAGTTTACGTTTGTAAACAACGCCTATTCTTCGGTCGGGGCAGTTAGTTTTAAAAGACTTTAAATAATTTAAATTGTTCTCTCTACAATTACACACCGAGAAAAAGCCGTTCATAGCGGTCTCGATTTCAGAGCGGTTTTACTAAATTGTGGTGGCTTTTTATACTCTTGCAGAGGGTATAATGATTTCAGTCAGAGATTTGCAACCAGAGCTCCCAAAAAGTGTCCCCATTTTTCTAGGTGTCAGAAAAAGATCAGTAACCTTAGAACCCTTTGAAAAATCGAATCGAAAAGACACTTACAAAGCGTCTTTTGTTTCAAAGTGTCCCGCTCAGACACTGAGCATTTCTGTTTGCTCTATATAGGAACCTGCTTTAGAGACACTTTTGTGTTCAGAATCTGACAAAAATGTCGTTTGATATTAAAACTGTTTTGATTCAGTACTTTACTTTTGTGTGTAGTTAAAAGGTGTATAAACATGAGTTTTAAAGTGAAAACTAATGTTCATTTTTTCAATATGAAAGTGAATTATAAGTTTTTGTGTATCCTGTGTGGCTTCAAACTGTCTAGGCGCCCCATTATAAACAGAAGGCGCCATTTAATGGCAAAACACCGACATATCTTACAGGGATTGCTTGAGAAAGGAATAAAATCTGACGGTAAACGCGTTCCAA